CCTTATAGTAGATGTCCCACATATGCCTCTTCTATCCCCACTTTTTTCTTGAACAGGTTAACATACAAGTACATTATTGTTGACTAATACCAAAGGAATGTTTTGTTTACTAGTCAGTGGGAGTAATGAACATATTAGAGAGTCTCTGACTCAATGATAATGACTCTTGGTAGAATCCCATTAAATATCTTTTTATTTCTAGGCTTGACTTGATAGAGTACTATGATCTGGGTTGTAAATAAAATGATTATATGTTTTCTGCTATATTTTAATTTTTTAAATTGCTTTGGAATTAGAGTAGATCCCAGACATTTCCTGAGAATACAGTTGGGAGTGCCTGTTACCATACAATTTCTATCATAAAGATGCATACATGTTAAAATAGTAAAACTGTTTTGAAATACAAATGTGTAGTTGGTTAAACTACCTTGCTAGCCAAGTAACATATATATGCTGGCATGACAGAAAACATGATTCAGACTTCTAGTTGAGTAATAAATTGCAAATTACTACTTGTCATGAGCCTGCAAGGTCACCCTTGACTAGTAGAGGTTGTGAATATTAAATGCAGAAATAATGAAAGACTTAGTTTATAAATCACCTAGATTTTTAGTGCAAGATTAACTTAACTTAGCTCCAGCTCCACTTTACTGCTCATTTTACTACCACTGATGCTTTTGTTGATTTAGAGCTTGACTTTCTCATATTGACTTTTGTGTTAAGATACATCAGTTACTACCCATCTAATGCTGAGCTTTGTAGCTGGTGGACCTCAGATTCATTATCATATGACAAGTCCTCATAAAATAATAAGGTGATTCAGGTTAGATTTCTATGAAAAAAATTGCTGGAAAGGCATTGTTCCAAAAAGGAACAGTGACTAGAGAATAACTTTCCTACCTCTTACGGAATCATCACATCATCAATCCCTAGACATCATACCCCTGAAATCTCCTCTTGGCACCAGGGTAATTTGTAATGTCAGCTGGGTGGAGGTAATTTACTGATTCCTAACATGTTTAGAATTGCTTATAACCAGTTTAGAATTGTTCATGTCCGATAGCAAAGTAGAAATATCAAGCTCTAATAGACTATATTGTTCCTAAGCCTTTTTTTTTGAGAAGTTGGTGGTTGGAATTCCTTTAAGCGTATATGTAGTATTACTGAATTTGTAAAAAATCTATTAATAACTGTTTAAGAAAGTACTCCTTTATTTTTAGTATCACATCTTTCCATCAATACTCTTGGCCATATATTGTTATCTTTTGTTTATTGTCTCCCCAACTAGATTGTAAACTTCTTGTAAATAGTAAATGTGTCTCAGACATCTATGGATTCCTACCCACTCCCACAGTGTCTCCTGAAACATAGAAAATATTCCATAAATCTTTAATGTTTGATAAAAGTTAAATATTGAAAAATTGAGTCTTACTGGCTTTAACTTAGATTTAAATTTATTGTTTTAGAATTGTATAATTCTTCTATCTTCCAATTATACTGCCTCTGTCGTTATTGCTGGGTCATCTTTTCTGGAAAAAGTATCTTACATTTTATCATTTGATTTTATTTCAGAATTTCCTAAAATATAAGCATTTTCTTTCACTTTAATCTGTGATAATTGAGATACATAAATATTTGTTGAACTGGCCATAAAATTCGTAAATTTGAATACCATGTTTGAAATAAGCATTTATTTATCTTTCAGAACTTTGACCTACATTTTGGCTATTAGTCATTTAAAAAGTACTTACTATAGGCAAATCTGTATGCTAGTGATCAGAGGCTAATTATATGTACCATTTTAAAAAGTATATACCTCAGCTTGGCGCCTGTGGCTCAAGT